ATATATTTTATTTACTTTCCTTGTTGGAGACTGCATTGAATGACTTTGTTATTAATTTCAGGCATTATACAGCATTTTTAATTAAAATCACTATTAAGTTACTAACTCTTGTTTTTTTATATTAATTTGTATTTAATTTCCAAATTTCAATAATTTCTCAATATTAATTTTGTTTCTTTTAAATTAATCACAATCAACCTTTAACCACGGTTGCTACTTGAAAATTTTTTTCTGCACCAGAATTGATTTAAAAAGGAAATACAATATATATATATCCATAAAAATTTTATTATTTTAATAATCAGACCATTTTTTGCTGATGATACATGGTGCATATATCTTTTTATCAAATACTTCTTTGCATAACATTACATTATATATGGTCTTAAAATCTATTCCGATCCAAGTTTTCTTTTACTTTTTGTAGCTTTAATCTTTTGATTAAATCAATATATAAAATTATATTAATTTCAAAGTGCACAGTTGCATCTATAAATAAATTTAATTGGATAATATAATAATGTATATAATAAAGTTCGCGTTTCAAAACAGTACCATTTTCTAAAAATGAGTACCAGAGTACCATACGGAAAAAAGTACCAATTTTGATACTAAAGTACCACATGTGACAACCGTGCCTTGAACTAAGTAAGAGGGAGAAAGGGTGCGACCGGGTCTCTCTCTCTTTCTGTTTCTGTCTCTTTCTTTATTCTTGCTTTTAGAATGATGTTTTCATAAAAAAAGTAATAATTTTTGGTAAAGAAAACTGAAATTAACATAGTTAAATTTGTAGAATGTAGTTTAGAACAACTGACTTACTCAGTAGATGACAGACTATAGAAACATAGCGATGATTCTGATCTACCACTAGTGTGAAGCACTGCTGTCATCTTTTCTACAGAGTTATTAGTGTTGTGTTTCCAAAGTAAAACATAAATAAAATGCATTTATAGTTAAGATTTGGACTAAATTTTCATTTGAATATATTGTTTGGATCTTGGCCTAAAGTATAAAATACAATATCATCAAAATTACTTCTTGAGGAAGTTTTTTAATTTTATTTTAAAAAAATTGGTAATCATGTGTCAGTAGTTAAACGACAGTTCTGTGTAATGGATAACTCTTAATTAACAACTTACACATAGTAAACAAGAGAAATGGAGGCAATATAGATAAATATAGAGATATAGAGAAATGGAAGAAAAAAAATTTGGAAGACTTGGCCCTTATATGACTTATATAGGTGGAATGTAAATATTATTAAACATAGTAAAAAACAAATTTCTTTTGAAATGTGCAGAATTCTCTGCTTACTTATTGCACTAAAATTAAATCATAATAAACTAAACATTCCAAACATCCCTTGACTCGATAATTCTGCAATTGCATTGTTGACAGTTCTTGTTCAGAATAGTTTTGAATATACCATTTAGGACCAATATACGCATACTTTATTCCGCAACAGTAATTAGTACTAACTTAGGGGATATCGCTTAACATTAAATATGAATAGAAGCTAATCACCAGACCTCATATTTCCAATTATAGCCAACAGAATTGTAGTCAACATATTGTAGCATTGATTTTCACTTTGAAGATATTTTCTGCATCGTTACTTTCTAGAATTTATTTTTTTGTTTTTATCTTTTAGTTTGGCTAGTTGATTTTATTTGCTGTTGACAATTGCAACTACAGCGTGTGTGAACAACTGCCAGGATTATTATTATTGTTTTAAAATGATTTTATTTTCGAACTGTTTATTTAAAAAAAAAATTGAAAGTTATAAGACTTATTTTGTCTTAAGTCGTTTTCCATTAAAGAATAAAAATAGCAACAATAGAAAAAAGTAATCTGCTTAACAGTAACTTATATTGTGTGTACAACTCTGTACTTAATGCTTTTGATATGACCCTGACAACATATACTTTAAAATAATAATCTTTTTAATATATATACAAGTTTACCTCAAAGCTTCTATTAGACTGCTATGACATGCGTCAGCAGCTGGCAAGCAAAAACAAAGTGATGTTTTGCTGGGGCCTGGTCACACAGGAATAAATGATAATGAGTCTGGGAACAGTCTTGCGAGGTTAGGATCTGCCATTTAAATCTGTGGACCGTGGATTAAGTGGATTAAGTTGGTCTACAGCTAGGTCTCTGATTGATAAATGGTTTTCAGCCAAGAGAAACCATATTGTGGATTAAGTAGATCTACTACTAGGTCTGTGATTGATAAGTGGTTTTCAGCCGAGAGAAAACCTGGCGCTATATTCCAGGTAACCGTCATGCTAAAGAGCTGGTTCATCCCTACAGTTATGGTAAGGTATCCTTTTTCCACAGAACACAGTTGAGGTTGTTGGTGGGATAACTAACGGGTCACCATCGACTAGTGACTCTGCTTAGAAGCAGACGAGACTTCCAGTCACATTCTTTGTGACTGCCTAGCCTTGTTCTGTGAATGGAGTAGTTTACTGGGTCAAGAATTAGTTTCTCCTTCTGACATTAGGAGGTCCTCAACGGCTGACATTCTGGCTTTCATTCAGATTAATCATGGTCGCAGTGTTCCGCTCCGTTGGGAGTTGGTACTCTGTTTATTCCTATTCCTGTTCCTAATATATATATAAATAATACATGCCCAACATAATTAATATACAGTTATAAATTTATGGATTTCTCATTATACAATACAATTGTTCTTTTTTATACAAAATGTCTATAATAAGAATCAGTGCCATTAAATTACAAATTTAATGTTTATTGATTTACTAACAGTCAAATTATTTTCTCCACCTTTGACATCTTAATGCTTGTTTCTTCAGGGTTGCTTTCATATTAAATACCTTCGGTCATTCCCATAGGGATTTGTAAGTGTTTCTCTTTTAATGCTAAGTGCTTTAAGTGAAAACTAGTCGTTAAACAATGTGTAGACGTGTGTTTGTGATGAAGGAAATTTGACACTATTTCGGCTTGTGTTTGTTATGCATATTTTAAAAATTTATAAAAGTTATAGTATTTTGCGGTGCCGTTGTTTTGACCATAAATTTTATTATTATTTTTTTTTTTCAAACTGAAAACTGCACTGTTTTTTACTTTAGAATGGATAAAATTTTGACAAATTGCCAAATCTCCATTGAAAATAATTTTAAGTACTTTTTTTAACTTAAACATTTTCTTTAGGTTATAAATTATTGGTGCAACAGTTATTTTTGTAAATTTGGTCCCAAAGTGGTACAATTAGGATGCTGTGATAAATCACTTTATAACGACTTTAAAAAAAAACTAAATAATCGAATAACAAAAAAGTAATATAATAGAAAAACAAAAAAGAGAAATAAATAATTTTATTTAATTCAGAATTAAAATTGTTACAAATTTTTAAAATTAAAATACAATTAAATACAATTGAGATTTTATAGCTTCAGGTTTTGATTTAGTTTTAATAGTTTTTTTTTCATTAAATAAAACAATAAATAATTTTATAATTGCTAATTTTTATCTATTATTTGTTAAAAGTTTTACATCAATATTGAGTCCTTTGTGATAAAATTTGTACTGAAGTAATTAACTCAAGCAAGTTAGGAAACATTTCAATTTTTATTAAATCTGTGGTAAACTAAAACCAAAGCAATTCTTTTATTTTATAACTAAATTTAGTTTTATTAAAATGATTACTGGGTAATAAAATAAATTAACTAAATTGGAATACAAAATATATTACTTTGTTATAAAATTCAGTCATGAATATAAACTTTTACTTTATTCATTTTTAAAAATTTTATGAAACTCTGAATAGTGAAATTACATAGTTTGAATATTCTGTTGCAAATATCCTTTCATACCTGTAGTGATGATGCCACCCAATTTCGGTTTTGCATATTAAATGCATTACCAATGCATTACTCTTTTTGTGCAGCGCTTCTCCATTATGCTTTGGTTTTATGCGGCCAATACGCAATATGTTCGAGTGTCAATTAAACGGTAGCCATTTTGTTTGTTTTTAAACATGTCGACGTATATTGTTAACAGTGTTGTTGCTATTGTTGTTGTTATTTACTTATTGCCATAGTGTTCCCGATTTTGTGGGAGCCTAATTTGAATAATGAAATGAATGCATTCTAGTAAAAACCTGTGTTATCATGCGTATGAATAGAAATGTTGTCATGAATATAAACAATGTCCGTACATTCACGCAATGAGCCTTTCCTTACAACAATGAGTGTGGATATCATTTGTAAAATTCGTTTGGTGAAGCTTACTACATTGTAAACAAAAACTGAAGGAGCAAAATGCGATTGTTGGAGATTGTTATTTTTAAAATATAGTAAGAGATACTCACAGCTCTTTTATTTGCTTTAAAAATATAATAAAATTATAAAATATTTTATTTATTTAATAGTTACAACTATTTCACAATCTATTTTATATAGATTGTCAATATATAGATATTGATAGTATATAATAGATAAATTAATATATTCTCAAAATAGGATCATCTTTATCTTGTTATATTATTTATATTATGATAGCAAAAATTTCTTACAAATTTTTTATTTAATTTAAAAAAATAATAAAATATTAAAATATATTACGTATTTATTAGTCACATTTTTGCAATATATTTAATATAACGAGCAAATTCAGTATAAAAATATATATACATACTTGATTTGCTTGAACTAGTTGTCAAAGAAGCACCGTTAAATTGAATTTAAGATTGAACAAAAAATAAATATCTCTATTAATGGAGGTTAAATTTAATTTTTTCTGATTTTATTGAATTTGGTATAAATTTTTGGTAAAATTTTTTTATATACATTTTTCAATTTTAATCTTTAGTTATTATTTTATTTAATATATCTTCTATATATTTTTTTTTCTAGGATGTTTTGCACAAAATCTGTAAATATAATATATATAAAAAAATTTTTTTATATATTTTTCGAATTTAATCTTTAGTTATTATTTTATTTAATATATCTTCTATTTATTTTTTTCTAGGATGTTTTGCACAAAATCTGTCATACACATGGTCAGGTATTGCGTATTGTTATATTCAAAAAGAATGGTGTCCAGGCTATGGTTGAATTTGATAGTTTGGAAGCTGCTACCAGAGCTCGTGAAAACCTAAATGGTGCTGATATTTACTCTGGTTGCTGCACTTTGAAAATTGACTATGCCAAGGTAGAATAATATTGTTAACATATTAATAAAACTATAATTTATTTACATTTCTATGTATTAAATAGTAATTTAGTTATTAGTAATTATTACTCATATTTTAATAAGTTTTTCCATTTTAATTTACTTTCTTACTTTACTATAAATTTATAGCCGGAAAAGTTAAATGTCTATAAGAATGAGCAAGACACTAGCTGGGATTATACACTTACAGCAGGTGAGTTAGATATTAAATTAAATATTTAAAACAAAAAAACAAAATTTTAAATGCACTTATCAAACTGAAATAATTGTAAAAATATATACTTACAAATTTATCTAGATATATATATATAAATATATATATATATAGATACTTTTACATACACACAGTCTTGTACACTTGCATAACTGCTCATCACTTCAGTTTTATTTTTAATTCGATTATGTTGCAATTTCAGATCAATACACGTATTTACACACAAATAACACTCAACATACATAAATATAAAATTAAAAAACAAAAAAATTAATTGAATTTAAAATTAGGAACAAAAAAAAAGAATCAAATATTTTGTTAATTGAAATTTCACTCAGCATACAATCTACGAGATACAATACTAGAATGTATGTACAAACTTAAATAATTTTTTTCTTTTTTTTTTTTAAGTTTTTCGTTTTGATTTTCTTCTCTTTTGAGGCTTCTTATTAGATACTCATTAGTAGCATTTAGATGAAATCATGTACAAATGCAGTAACACAAGATATATCTATTAATACTCATATATATAATATATTTAACATTTAAAAATTAAGTTTTTTTATACAAGCCAATTTACAAATACTATAAAAACTACACCACACATGAGTTTTTGCTGAAAAGTTTTCGGAAACTCAACAAAAAGACGAACTCATCATAGTTAAAACTATCAAATTGTATTTATATGCCAGAATATAAATAAATTATATATGAACTCGCAACAAGCTCCAATAAACTCCAGTAAAAGTTATTTTATATAAATACCATAAAATATATATATTTATATATATTTTAATTAAAATGATATTATGCACACAGACAAACAATAGCCTCAGCTCTGTTCCCCGCATTTTAGTGTATTTTGAATAGTTTGCACAAAGTCCTTTGCCTAACAAAAACTAATTACTGACATTTTTTTATATTGTTTTGTTACAAAATGTTATTTTTTAAAATAGAAATACAATATAGTTTAAAAAAAACCTACATATTTTTATGAAACAATTTATTAATTTAGTTTACTGTTAATTTAAACACTATGAAGGAGTTTTGCAATATAATTATTATGATATACTTATATTATATAGTTGATATCGGAATAAGTATAATTTATAATATAGATACTATAAGTATCGCATTTATGACTGAAATAAGTTTTTACAAATGTAGGTATTTATTTTTTGTAATTATGTTAGGTGCTTTTCAAATTAATAAAAAAATGCTTTCGAAAGAGGTTAGGTTTTCTGCTACACATCATATTTAAGTATGTGTAGCAGTCAAAAACCGCATTTATGTAAATTGGAGTGAACTAAATGTCTTTAAAACAGCTTCACCTTTTCCGCATAAGCTAAAGCTTCTCTTATAGCCACTACCTCCCCTTGAATAACACTGCAAAGATCAGGAAACCTATAATATATAGAATCAGTCTTTCCGTGAAAACTCTATTGCATATACTGTCAGTTATGAGGAAAGTAAACTATTTTACTTAATAGAAACTAGTATATTTAGTCGAGAGGTTTTGAAAAGAACTAAAGAACAAAAGAAATTATTTTTATATTATATTAATTAATTGAATTTTTGGCTGACCATACAGCTGTTTCCAGTATTACCAAATACCCATCATCAGTGGTCTTGGAACTATTTCTTATATTTAAGTTTTTGTAAATAATTTTTTGAGACCACAAGAACCAAGGGTTGAACTTATACTTATACCCTGCCAAATTTGAAGCTCAGAGTCAGCTTCCTGTTGTTAAGTTCTCTACTTTTCGAAACCTCTCTACAATAATTTATAAACATAATAAAAAAATGTTACTGTTAATTCAGTCTTTAGCATTACAACTCAAGACTTCTATTCTATACAAGAATTCTATTCTATTCTTCTATAGCTCTGTGTAAAGATTTTCAGTTTTTCTTACCAATGTCTATTATGATAGGGTATAATAAAAATTTATTTTTGGTGTCGGGTCAAACCATTCTTAATGTGTGTAGTGTGATATTTTTCACAATGTCCTCTTCATCCCTCAGTTACATCAATTCTTCCTTACAGTTTCCTTATGTTTTGAATATATTTTCATCGACTGTTATTGCTCAATTTTAAGTGTAGAACTGGTAGGTTATACAGTTCTACCAATTTATAGTTCCTATTTATTAAATTCGTATATGATAGACCTATAAATATCAAAAATCAATGGCAAACTTAAAAATTTATATAAATAATTTATTACATGCGTCATTATACTTATATTACTTAAAAGCTTAATGTTAATATTTTTTGTAAAAAATATTCAACTTGTTAATTACTTTTATGTAATGTTCATTGTGCTATATACAATGTGTGATAATTGTCAGTCTATTTTCATAGCTCATTAAAAAATTGGAATTATGAATATGAAACATAAATGCACTCATTTATTTTTACATATGTGAGAATTAAAATAGCTGGAAAAATTTTAAATAGGTTAAAATTCCAATGAATAAGAAAAGTATACACAAAAAATTAATAAAAAATATTTTAGTAGACACGCTGTCTGGCTATTTATTTTGTTTGTTGGTGCTGTTAGAGCCTTTCTAAGTACGCCTAAATGTCTGCTGCTTGAACAGAGGTCGTTGTTGTAGGCACTTGCAAGTTGACAGAGGTGCCAACGCTTACAACACCGAAGAAACGTCAAAAGTATTCTGCTTTCTTTTATCTTTTTTTGCATTTTTAATTCGCTGGAAGGCTCCACTTTGCACTGTGTTAAGTTTTAACATGTGAATATAACATAAAATACGAGCATATAAATATTTGCTTGCCTGGCTCTTTGGACACAGATGTCATATGCAATAAACAATTCATTTGTTGTACCGCTGAGTCGGTTGCGCCGCTGCTAATAATTTTAGAATCTACTGTCGTTGCTAATAAGAAACACAACTACTGAATGCTGAATGGCATGGAATAAATTTTGGATTCAACAGCACTGAATGCAGCTGGTAACATCTCGTCTCACTGGTGGTACTAGTACTCTGCTTCAACGTCTTTTTGCATTTTCCTCGCTTTTCATGTTTTTGTGGGTATTATTTGTCTATTTGACAATGTTGTCTGCTTTGATTTGCATTTCAGAAAGAGACGAGGAAGCACACAATGCACTCTAATGACAATGAATTTTAAACACTGTAAAGAGCGCATAGAAATAGGAGACTAAATTCGAATATAAGATTTTGGAATTTTGATCTTTGTCAGATTGATGAAACCGCAGAATCTCTATGATATTTTGTATCATAAATCTAATTATTGTTAAAATTAAATTGTTAATAAATTTTTACTTACAATAAAAATACTTTAAATGTAAAATAATTTAAATACTTGAATTTTAATATTAAAGAAATGAATAGTTTAATTTACATTGCGGCGGACAAACAAGCATGTCCGCAAGCTGTTGCGTTGTTCTACAACTGCTCAACAATCAATGATATCAAACAGTTATCGATGATTCTTTCTTCAAACTAGTGAGTTAACGATTATAGACAGAAAATCTGTTCGATCAGTACTTTCAAAAAATACTAGAGGGCTAGAGTGGTTCAAATTTGTGCAGCGTGCAATTTAGTTATTGACCCACTTAGAATGACAATTTGCACTAAAGGCGGACATATTATCATTCCAAAATGAATTCGAAAATTTAATTCTAAAAATTTTTATGTTGCTTTAATAAAATTCAATTACAAATAAAAAAATTGTAGCCCTCTAAAAAGTTGCAGTTCAATTGGACCACTCCCTATGGGTGTAGAGTGTGGTAGAATTAAATTAAGACAATCAAAATTTGGTATTTTCTCAACCAGTAGAGATATTATAATGAAATTTTCCTTAAACTTGAATTATATAAAAACAAACTTAACATTAAATAAAAAGTATCAAACTATTGGTGTGTAATAACACTGAAGATGGTCTACGGAGTAGACCGAAGTATCTGCTAAATAAATATATACATAAGTTAAGAACTGTGATATTTTTAATTTAATCTTAAGTTTGTTTTTATATAATGTAAGTTATTATATAAAATTTAACTAATTTTTTTTATTGTAACTAGGCTTAGGACGTTTCGACCTAACTAATTGAATATTGATCGTAATAATTATAAAATATAACTTTTATAAAAACACGACCTAAAACCAAAATATAAAGACATAAGTAATAATTATATTTTGAGATTTATAAAAATTTTCTTTTTTTAAAAAGAAAAGGATTCAAATTTTTTTTTTTTTTGTTTTTTATTAACGATTCTTCAAATAAACACAAAAATCGTTTTAATATTGCACCTAGTACAAATAACAAAAAAGAGGTACTAATAAGTAATTTGATTTGAATATTTAAGAGGGTTCAAAATTGATATAGTTTTTAAGAACATTTAATTTCACTAAAATTTTACAAAATTGCATAGTACTTAAAAATTAATTGGCGAATCACTCCCATTTTGAGTCATAAATCCCATTTTGTATTTTTATATCTGTAATAAATAAATATAATCTAATAGAAGTAGAATGTTTTTAAAAACAATAAGAAATATGCTTCGTATGGGTTGTGGGTATTGCAGTAGGTAGAGTATCACGAAACGTTTTGAACCTTAGTGATATAGGACAAGTATTATGTGGCCCACATTTTAATTTTTTACCTCTTCTCGTTTTTAAGATATTCAAAACAATAAAAAAGTTTACCACGTTTGGGCTCAAATTTGGAGAGGTTTCGATAAGCCGATTGTGCTCAAAATATATTCAACCAAATTATGGGTAGTAAAAGATTTTGTAATGAAATATTAAATAAATTATTTTAATCATAACTTAACTTTACATCCTGTGTGAATGCTGCAAATTCAAAACCAAATATTTTCAAATTCTTTTTTGAATTTCATACTGTTGTAACTTTATTAATAATTACTCGAAGACATAAAATTGTCATAATAAATATTTCTAAAATTTCCATTTTGCAGTTGTATTGTTTTCTATATTCA